CCTTCTTCGTGCATGCGCCTCGGCAACGGCAAACACATCACTCCCCACTTTCAAAAGACTGGGAACACGTAACGAACTCACTGTTTCTTCTCCATCTTTCACGTCTCTCCAAACATAATATTTTCCCGACGAAGCTCCCTGACTTGGTTCCTCAGCAGCCGCAGCCCCACCAGCGTTGCAGCACATCATCACGAGGAGGAGGAGCAGCACCGCTGAATAAAAGTGATGCCGGGATATGTTGGGCCTCTGCGGCTCACTCTCTCTCCCTTCCCTCCTCCTTCCGCTGGATCCGGTCACGCGGCGACGGTTGTGTGTGCGGGGTGCCTTCACTGCAGCAACACGTGAGTGCATGTAAATATGTGTGTGTGGGCGGTGTGTGTGTTGTTGGTCCTTTCAGTGCCTTCGAATTTCACAGTGGCGATTAGCGCTTGTTTTCTTTCTTCGTAAGAGAGAAAGAGAAAAAATGCCCACAAAAGAAGCACAAGAGTGAACACCCTCACCCATCCACAGTGAGTGGCACCATCATCCCCGCCGCAGTCACTCCCAACAACAACAACTCACGCACACAGACACACGGAACGAGACGGAGGAACAGTTCACCGGGAACACACAGCGACTGCCACCACCAGCAGCAGCAGGAGTCACGGCGGGTGTGTCGTTACTCACGCGTCAGCACACACCGAGCAACACCCACACACAAAACAGCAGGTGGGATGCAAGAGAGCACGACAGTCCTTTGAAAAGTCCACGCGCTAATTCCGGTCGTTTTACTGTTGTCCCCTCCAGCTCACCCGCTTCTCTGTCGCCGGCGCACAGCCGGGGAATCCCCATCGGCCAATCCGCAGCGTCGGAGACACATCGGCACGTGCAGCTGCTGGACGGGAGGTAATCCGTACTTGTACCATGCACTCCCCAATGCCACACCACTCACCGGCTGCAGGACTCCAACGTAACAACCGCAGCACGTCAAGGGAATAAGTTGCGTGTGAACGCCCTTCCTTCTCGCAACAGCCGCTTCAGCCAGAAGCTTGTGCGTGCGTGCGTTCTCAGCTTTCACACCGCTCTACAGCATGAACGACATGGCGTATGTGTGTGCTTGTGCTTCTGCGTTTGTCAGCGCCTCTATACCCGCAGAGCAGCTGTGCGGCACAAGAGAGTCCAAATAAAGCAACGGCAGAGAGAAACGGATATTGCACACACGCAAATTACTCATATCATCACACACAAACACACACACGCAGCCCGCGGAATGGGTGCTCTCAACCACAAAACAATGAAAAACAAAACAAAAAGCCGAAGCGTGTGACGACCAGCGCACACACTCTCATTGCTCCCGTAAAGCAAAACACACACACAGGGAGAGAGAGAGAGTGAGAGGTCGCCCACTCAATGCAATGAAAACAAAACAGAAACAGTTACAGTGCTCCGCCCATGCAGCCAGGCAGGACGGCGGCGGTGCGTGTCGTGCAAAAGAGAGCACCAACGGGCCTGCATGGGTGTGCATGCAATATATACAATGGGCACATTATGTGTGTGCTTCGTGGGATGAGGTGAGGGCGAGAGTCCATGCAAGGGGACACACACAGAGAGTGAGAGAGAAGGACGAGTGTGTGTGCGGGCGGTGCACGGCTCTCTCTCCCTCACTCTCACGCGGCCACCACCGCGGTAGCAGCCGCACACGTAACAAGAAGAAGAAGCAAAAGAGGGGAGGTGGTGTGGGAGACCGCGGTGCTGCTGTCACTGTTTTGTGTATTCGTCGTATCAGTTGTGTTGGCGGTTACTGTTGTTGCTTTTGTATCTTCCCCAGTCCCTTCTGAGCCTCCTTCTCGGTGGCTTTGTGGTGTGGCTGCGGTCTCAGGCGACGGAACATTTTTTTTTACCTCCACTCGTGGTGTCTTCGCCATCCTGTTTGCGGGAATCAACACCTTCTTCGTGAGCTGGTGAAGGATTTCCTCCCGCAATTCCAGCAGGCAGTGTGTTCTCTCCGTTAACTCTTGTGAGTGCTTTCTCTACTGCAGGTTTTTTTCGTCGGTGTCCTTTTTTTCAAATTCCGTTTGCGTGGCATTGGCATTTGATTCCCGACTGCCGGAATGAGAAAAGCCCTCTGCAGATAAAATTGACAGGCCTGTTTTCTTCTCATTGCCACTTAAAATCTCTTCCCTGGAATCTGAGCCTGGTGCAACTGTTCCTCCTTGACCACTCTGCCCTGCTGTTCTTTTTCCTTCTTTCTCTTCGGTTTCTCCATCTTCCATCTCTTCATCTTCATCATCACCATCTGCATCCCCATCTTGAGGAGGGGAAGATATTAGTGATACTTCTTCTGTAACAACTGTTACTCCATTTTGTAAGCCTTGGGAGCCTACTGGAGGCGTTACAACTGGTTTTGAAGCTGGTGGAAGTTCAGCACCACTCCCAGAGCCTGCTGCCTTTTCCTCGTCTGCAAAACCACCGCCGCCGGCACCGCACCACAGCACGCAGAGGGCACACACCAGCAGCACACGGCCAGTCATCATCATCGCCATCACTCCTGTCACTTGCGTGCAGCCTTCAGCACAAACTAACTCCCCGCCAACGCAGAGCAAAAAAAAAAAAAAAAGACACCGCACAGTAAAAAAACATCAGCAGCAGCAGCACGTATTTCATGGGAAAAATTAACCCAATAAAGGTCAGAAAACACACACGCAGCCCCGTAATAATTTAAAAACAATAAAAACTCAAAAACAAAGAAAAACAAAACTAAAGTAAAAAATCAGCAATAAAAAAAAAATGCAAAAACACACAAAAGAAAAAAATGCACCCAAATGGCTCCAGTGTGTATGCACTCACACACAAGCATGCATCTACGCAAACAGTTGTGGGCGTGTCGTGCATATGAGTGTGTCTGGGTTGCGTTCAACGTGACGGATACAGGGAGCAGCAACACGGAGCACACAGCAGGGCAGCGGAAGCAAATGAAGCAAAACACAATCATTACTTTCTCTTATTTATTTACATCGGACAACAGTAGACGCACACAAATCCCCGCGGCTGAGTGCTGGCACGCACAGCCCGCACACACCTCTTCAGCCCACAGTGGTGTACGCCAGCGCGGATACGGCGAGCAGCAGCGGGGCACACACCCACGCAGAGCTGCTGAGGCTGCCGTCGATTTCACGAAGACGTGACGGTGCGCGGGTGGTCGTCGTGGTTGGCGCCTCTGTAGTCGTAGTGCTTGGTGCCTGTGTTGTCGTGGTCGTTGTAGTTGGTGGCTGTGTCGTGGTCGTCGTGGTCGTTGTGGTTGTCGTATTTATTGCACTTGTTATTAGATTTTGTTCATTTGCCTTATCGGTCTCTTCACCATCCGCCTCTTCATTGGTGGATTGCCCATCTTTTTCCTGATACTGTTCCTGGTTGAGATTAATTTGTGACTCTGCTGTTACTCTCCCATCCCCTTCCTCTTTTGCCTCTGGCGGGAGAGGAAGAGTACTAGGCAATTGCGTCATCTCACTTACTTCCTCTGGCTTAGAGTTCGCTTGATCGGAGTGTTCTCCTGGGTTATTAACAACTTTTTCACCATCCGCTGTCACGCACACGGACGGGCAGCAGCACAGGGCAAGCACCAACAGGGCGCACAGCAGACGGCACGTCATCATCGTGAGTGTGGTCGTTCAGTGGTGTGGAGCTGATCTGCACAGTGAGGGACATGGAGAGCAACAGGGGAGACGAGAGGTGCGGCAGACACACACAGAGGGCACACCACATAAGGAGAGGGCAGCAGCCAGGCATGCACCGTACGCCGCACACCACGCACGACACACACTCCAATCCACGGCAACAGGCACACACACACACACACACAGCCCTGCCGCAACACACACACACAGATGGAGGAGGGAGAAGCAAACAGGAGCGGCACACAAGGCTCCACCGCATGCACATACGGCGAGAGCGGTCCGTCGTGTCTGCACCCCTCACGGAGGGTACGCACAAACAAAAGAGGAGGTGCAGCGCACACAGCAACACAAAAGCAAAGTAACAAAAAAAGAAGATCGCCGCACACCACGTGAAATGTTGGTCCACGGGAAGTGCAGCCAATATTCATCACAAAAACAATTCAGTTGCCTTTTGGCCTTCGTTCATATTCAGCGCACACCACTTCATGCACGCCCGGGAACCGCAGCAGCAGCCGCACACGCAAAAACAAGCGCAAGAAATGGAATAATGCAAGCAATAATTTATTTGTGTTTCTGTTTGAATGTTGGCAGATGCCTGCATGCGTTGTTTTTGTTTTTGCATAGGGCAAGCCTTCATGCCTGGGTCGTGTGTTGGGGATTTCTGCAGGGTGCACAATTATTATGTTTTCTCCTCTTGTGAATGTTTCTTTTGTTGGTGCAGCCAATAATTCGGTTTGTATTGTTCCTGCCTTCGCTGGTAAAGTGCTGCAATAGATGTTTGTTTTTCCTTTCGTTGCTGTGGCTCCTGATTCCTCACCGTTTATTGCGGTGGAAATGAAAATATGTGAGTGGACTCCCACGCACCAGAACGCACCTTCGCTCCTATTTGTTGGTGCATGGAAGGGCATGTGTGCTTGGTGGTGTCTCGGCCATATATTTTGTGGGTGTACATTCCCCTGCAGGCTGAGGGCGGGATGACGCTCCGTCGCGGTGCACTTCCCTCGCATGCCGCCCACCGTGATTCATCGTGCATCACTCCCTCACATATTCCGTGGTGCCACACCGCTGATATTATTGCAGCCGCTGTGATTCCGCGTATTTCACGCATTTGATTGTGCCACAATACATCCGCTCGTGTGGGCGCAGCATCCAAACAGCGGTGCCCAACACCGTGAGCGGCAGTCCACATCCTTGCATTTCCCAACGCAGTGGTGTTTGACTGTCAGCCAGGCGTCAGACAACAAGAGAGTCTTGTGCTGGCAGTACAACACACGGAGCTGCAGTGAATGGCTCGGGCGGAGACGCATCTATTTGCCGCAAAGCAGTGAAAAGGAGTCGGGCAATATAATGCCGGCTGCATTCACGACACCATATCCACAGCCAAAGCATGCAACGTGGTGTGTGTTTCACTGGTGCTGTGAAATGCCTGCAGACGACGTCACTAGTGGAGGCATGCCACCCATGATCAGCGGACAGACAATAATCGGCATGGGAGGCCACAAGAGGCAGCAACGACGCCAGCAGCAGGAGCAGCTCTCTCTCTCTCTCTCTCTGTTGCCTCCGAGAAGTAAATATTCCACCAGCCACAGCTGACTGTGCCATCGTGACACTCCATGCACGTCGTGGCTGCGTCAACACATCCTGTTCCCTGCAGCGCCTCAAAAGATGCTCCACTCCGTCCACTAAGTGCATCGGTGTGGGCCGTGCCTCGGCTGTTCGTGAGGACCACAACGATGTGAGGGTCACCGAGTCGCAGCATGTTTGTTGTGACGTTGTTGCATGGCACCTGCAAACACACACACGCAGCGCCTGCATCCCTCCCTTTTGTGTCTGCCCTCTGCCGGAGTGGCCACACACACACGGGCAGCAGCAAAATCACTCCACCCTCGACGATCCAAAGTCAACACCGACATCCCTCGCGACGCAAAGATCTCAGTTGCCAGCACGGGCTTCCTGTCGCTCTGCCATCGACGCTGAAACACGGCACAGTGCACGCACTTATTTTCCTCGTGTGCAGTCAGCCGTTTGCTTCACACATTCTTCGATGGGCTGACGCCCACAAAAGCACGCCACAAAAGGCCACTGTGATCGCACACGCTCTTGCGATGAGCGTCGGTGTGTGCATGGATCCGCTGCTCACACGTACTGGCAGGCAGCCTGCAGCCGGTGCCCTCGTGCCAGTTCATCGGCTCCAGCACGGAAAAGAGAAAACGGCCTATTCCCGATGCACTTATTCCCAGCAGCAGCAACAACACGCTGGTCGCCAGCCGTCATCCCTCAGCACATCCAGGAACACTGAAAAGTGACGTGGAGCTGTCAGCCAGCAATGCCACAATCCCCGCACACATGTCGGCTCCACCAAATAAGACACACAAATCACAAACAACACCCCTCACATGTTTTCCGAACATCATTCCGAAACACCGCAACACGCCAAACAGAAGTATTTGTCACTCCAATGCACCTCCTCACGCAATCACATAGTCCATGCACCACGCACGGCAGCAGCTCACACGCGGTCAAACAAATTTTCTTCGGATCAGTGTTATCCACGTGCTGTGGTGGAAAGTAAACAAAAGAGACGAGCTGCCAAACCCCAAAAGAGTGCCACGACTGGCCGCAAGTCAACGGAACGCAGCCACTCAAATGAATTCAGTCCTCATGCCCTCAACCTCCCACCTTCTCCCACAAAAGCTGCAAAAGATGGAAAACAAATGCACCGTCCAATAAACTTGCTGTAAAACACCACATGAAGCCGCAGTGCCTTATGCTGTCCTCACAGTCCGTTGATGACGCCTGGATGCGGATGGTCACCCATCGGTCCTCACAAACGACGCCGCACACCCGCGACGCATCCTGCGCTCTGAGACACGCGTCCCTCACTATCACCAGAGACGCCCACGCACCGTCGGTACGCAACAAATCGTCAAGAAACGAAGGATACGTCAGGCTGAGAGCAATACATCCGCCGACAAATCACATCGCAGGCATCACAAACAGCAGCAGCGCCACAAGCCGCGGGGTAACGTGGATCAAATGATGCATGGCGTATGTCAAAGAAAAAAACTTGGTGGCGTCAAAAGAATACAAGAGGCTGACACTCTCCCAACAAGAAAGAAACAATATAAGAATACAAAAAGACAATTATAGGCGTCAGCAGTCAAAGCAAGCCACCGATCAAAAAAGCGTGGAAAAGTGCACTCAGCTACAACACAAGTAAAACAGCAATAGACAAAAAAAAAAGAAGCCGAAGCGTGGGACGACCAGCGCACAAACTCTCTCATTGCTCCCGTAAAGCAAAACACACACACAGGGAGAGAGAGAGAGGTCGCCCACTCAATGCAATGAAAACAGTTACGGTGCTCCGCCCATGCAGCCAGGCAGGACGGCAGCGGTGCGTGTGCTGCAAAAGAGAGCACCAACGGGCCTGCATGGGTGTGCATTAATATATACAATGGGCACATTATTTGTGTGCCTCGTGGGGTGAGGTGACGGTGAGGCGTTAAGACACATTATTGAGGACAATCCTAAGTGTATCATTAATTGCGCTTAGGTGTCGTGTGCCGTTAGTACTGATTCTTCTATTCATGGTCGAATAAGTTTTCTGTTCCTTCAAATCCCTGTAACTCTAATATTAATGGAGGAAAATGGAAGAGGAAGTCTTTTTGTTATCATGCAGGCCGAGGTAGTCTCTGTGCGCAGCTTGTTTTTGGTTGCTTTCCCATTTCTCGGTTCACCATCGACATTTGGGTGACAATACTTTGCCACAAGGAGCGGCGAATAAAGGCAGTTCAAAATCACATGCCTTACGCGGGAGCTGCAACTGAATCATGAGTTTTTGGAGTCTCGCGGGATACAAGCATCCTTTGCTTACGTGCGGTCAGCAGAAAACCGCGCAGACGGCATATCGCGTGGTCGCGTGTTTACACTTCAGGACTTGGCGAAGGGGAGCGGCGGGGTCTTGTGACAGGAGGAGTCCAAAGTTTGCCACTTCGTGAGTTATAATATTTCTATTACTAACAAAATACAACGTGTCATGAGAGTGGCAATCCGAATATATATTCTTGGAGCAGACAATGAGGAGGTGGCGAACCCACGGCTTCTCTATTTAACTTTTCCTTTCATCCATCATGTTTGACTTCTTTAGATCATTTCAGGATCCGGCCAGCAGCCCAGCCCAATATTGCTTTGTATAAGCGGTTGTGGGTTGTTAGTTCTGCCACTGGGACGTTTGGCTTGTAGCAAACTGCGGTAGGCGATTAATAGCTATTTGCTTCTATACGAGCACCTTTGAAGGGGTGTTTGTTCCCTGGTTGCCGGAGCTTTTATTGCGTGCGAGACGTCGGCGTTTGCTCGTTTATTTTCTGTTATTTATTTATTTATATTATCGTGAGGCGCTGTTTTGCTCGATGGGGCGCAGTGTTGGGAAGGAGAACTGTTTGCGCAAACTGGCGTCACGCCGTGCGGTGCGCTTATTGGGAGAACAGCGGTTCTGTTGAACAAATGTTCAACTTGACGGCAAAATACTTTTGTCGGGATGCCGGAGGTAGAAAAAGATATGCTTAGCCCAACACCTGAAAAAGAGTGGCACCATCATTTCGAGTAAAATCCGCTTTTGCTTTAGAATTTATGATCATGAGGGTGTAATTTTCTCTTCGACAAATATGGAAATGAAAAGCGACGTTGTCGAACTCAACAAGAGTCCTTTAATTGTGTAGCTCCTTATTGCATTGTTTCTCGGCAGCGGGGGATCATCGTTCCACCGTGCTAGCTCGGTGGCATGGCGTATCGTGTGCGTTTCACGCCCTCTCCGGGGCCAGGACCACCTTTTACGTTTCCACTCGGCAGGGCGGACGTGCTCGAAGACGGTGGCCGGCTTGTGGGTTATAAAATTTATTTGGAAAAAAAACACGATGAACAAGCAATAGAGAAGCAATGGACCCCTATTTAGCACTCGATTCTGGAAATTTACATTGCGT